CGGTACAGTCTAACTGCAGAAGTGCGCGGAGTTAATCAGCCACCTGGTACATGAGGTTGGTGGTCCGCAAACAACAGAACATTTTGTAGGTTTACTAAATGCAGGTTTCGAAATGTTCCGGGGCCTTTGGGACACCCGGGACACCCTTTAGAGTGCATTTTCCATAAGAAAAGGTTGGTATTGTGATATGAATTAGTTACAATATAATAACAAGATCCAGCATAATTTAAGAGTACTTTGAAAAAGGGGGCAGTAGTTAGTCTCTTGGGTATAAAAAGCGCGCGTGAAGAAAGTCTGACTCGAGACCGGTGGCGCGAGCTCGCGGAGTCGGACTCGATGGCTGTACTACTCACAACACAACTCACCGTGCACCCATACAGTACAGCAGGAGGCCGAGGGTGTGTTCTCCAATGGCCTAAACCGCAATTCATAAAACCCGGCCGGCAGTAAGTCTTCTGGTGATTCGTGTTGTACCGGCACGTGCAGCGGAGCGGCTCGCCCCAACAACAGCCCAATAAACACGAAAAACTCACGAGGACGTCATATTGACATCAAAAGGACTAATTTGGTCACGAGAGAGGTCAAAATTTAGGCCAAAACTCGGTCACTTTGACGTCAAATGACCGAAAATGACCTATTCATGACATTTTCGTGTTCTCTGCACGGTAAAAATAGTTTCTTGTATTTCAAGACCTGGTCTTGGATGCCATTGGCGTTCTCCATAAGATCCAAGACCGGGTCTTGAAATACAAGAAACTATTTTTACCGTGTGGGAGAGTCCCGGGTGAGCGGTGAGTCGCCCAAGTCGCGCCCCCCGAGCGTCAAGGGTTCTGCACGTGCACGCGCAACCCCCTAGCGAGCCCTTGCGGGCTTCTCCTCACCCTGACCTCTGACCCCCATGCGTCAGCAGCAGGGCACATGCTTTCTCTCTCCCACCACCAGAACCTGCTCACTCTGAAAACCGGGTTCAAGTTTTTGGGCACGAAATCATGACTTAGTCGTAACCAATGATATTTTTGTGGCAACAAAAAAGATAAATGTTTCGCAGCTAAACAAAGTTTTGTTTCAATGTGACCAAATTTTCTTTCTCTTAAGCAAGTAGATGGTTCCGGCTCTGCGAGTTTCAAGCAGAAGTAAGCAGGAAGTCAGGGCCGGAAACAGCACGAGAAGCTCGCTGATTTTTCTTATTTAACGGCGAGGTTGCCCCGCTGGAGCGAACGCGAGTACGAGCCCGCGGATCCTGGAGTGCGGTTGCCTCGGCGGTTGCCTACTAGCACCATAAGTACCATAGCATAAGGCAAACCCGATTTAAAACGGTGCCTCATTTCGACATTATGACATCGTTTCGAAAGCGCTAAAAATAATCATTCTGCCCAGCAGGGGTCAACCCCGCAAATATATCGGATGTAGTAAAAGCGAGTAAAAGGTTGCGGCGGGTTCTAATGTATCTATTTCTCTTTCGTTTTCAGAGCGACTACATTCGCGGAGGGTAGTTTTATGTGGTGCCGACAGACAGATCGGCCTGCAAAAACCGTAGAGAACCGGTAAGACGGGAGCATTTCATCCATCAAGGAGCCGAGTGGCGAGAGAAAAAGCAGCCACCGCCTGGCGAGCGGTCACCACGCCCGCGGCCGCTGCTGACTTTTACCTCGCGACCCGTCGCTCCTCCTCGCGACGCGTGCGGCTCTGACGAGTCACTTTGACACCCGGACGCGTCCCGCCGTCGCGTCGAAGATAATCTATACCAGATCATCTGCTGCGACGTTAAACGACGACAAAATACCGTAGTCTGCGCCGTGCAGATAAAGACTCTCAGACACACGAAAAACCCGGAAAAACCGCAGTGCGCATTGAAGCAGTACGTAGTGCAGCTTCCGGACCTTTTGTTACCCAAATTTTGAAAAACGGACCTTTGATTCACTTCTTAAAGTGCATTCAAAAGAAATTCTGACTTGATGTAAAGCTACATTCCTTTAACGTGAGCAGGGAATTCCCTCAAGTAAAAACAGTGAGCGCCGCTGTAGGCACGCCCTCCCGCATGCGGCACAGTACAGTGCGTGCGTGGTGTGTGCGTGGTGCGGCCGGCTGTGGCGTGTGCTTGCCGCCCATTCACAGCGCCCTGCTCCCGGCGATGACCCCCACCCCCGCCGCCTCCCAAAAGAGAATGGCATCCACCGCGGCGGGGCGTGGCGAGGGCGAGCCGACGGCACCCCAGTCAGGGCCGACTAGATAAGACACACATGTGCGCGCGATCCTCGTGGGCGTGGCGTGTTTTTTCGTGATTGGACCAGCCTGTTCGCGAAGAAAAGCGAGCGGAAAAGAGAAACACGAGAGAGAGAGAAGCGACGCGACGTGTCTGTGCGCCCGCGGCAAGTCTACCTGGCGCGCGCCTTGTACAGCTGCACCGCGGCGACACTTATTTTGGCGCCCTACCCACTCGGTTTAATTATACCGGCTGTGTTTTGGTGCCACCGGACTCTTTCTGTTCCCCGCTGGCCGCAGGGGTTGGGCCGACCGAGGCCTGACTGCGTTATGGGTGCCTCCAGTTCGTGATAACCCTTTTGGAAGTTGAAGTTGAAGATGCCGCCCCGCGCGCGCATTTCGACTTCGGCTTTTTCCGAACGTCGTCCGCTCGGTTCGCGCTGCTTCGGGAACGGATCGCAGCAGGTTACGTTATTGTTGTCACAGGTAAGCTAAGCAATGCCGGCCGGCCGGCTATTCTGGGCTCACCTGTGTGCGCCCCGCCCGCGCTCCGCCCGCGCTCCGCCAGCCTCCCCCCCCTCCCATCTCTTTCTTCTCATTGCGTCCCTGCGCGCTGCTGCTTCTCTCAGGTACAATGAGAACGGGTTCAACTCCCCAAAAGGAACGACGAGATTTTATATACACCTTTTTTTGTTGGTATTTTTCTTGTACGTTTTTTAAAAGCAGCAAAGGCTTTTCTGCTTTGGTGCACGCTGGGCGGTGGGGGAGCCGAGTGACTCACGCAGCGAGTCCGACGAGCGAGGGGCGGGCCGAGAGCGGAGGGGTGAGAGGGGGGAGTCCACAGAACAGTCTCTACGCGCATGGGGCCGCAGACGTCATACTGTAAGGGCCCGCCTTTTCACACGGTAGGTTTCCGCCGCTCACGATTCAGCTCCCATATTCGCTCATGATTCGCACCGCCGGGCGCCCATTGCCCGGGCGCTGCTGGCTGTTTATGCGGGCTCCTCTCCATGTGCTCCGGCGGCCGGGCGGCCACATCCTTCAGGCCATATGCGAGCCCGGCGGCGTCACGCCCGCCCTCTGAGGGCGACAAGGTCAGGGGCGAGGGCGAAAAAGATACTGCTGCTGCGATAATGGGGCTGAGAAGTACACAGTGTAGCCGTCCATGCACTCCGGGGAGGCAGCACCCGTATTCCTGCTCACTTCAATAACCCGCCAGCCCCTTTATGTTTCCTATGGTTAGCTCCACAAATTGAATTATTTCTGAACCCCCCTCTCGACCACCACCATACCAACGCCGTGGCCACATCGCTTGTGCCGGCACACGCGTGTAGTACGGTTGTACGACGGGCAGGCCCCGGCAAAGGCAACGCCAAACTGCTCGTGGGAAACATAAGATAATTTTTGCTTGCAATCGGCCGTTTGCCAGGCCGGTCCGGTCGCCGCCGGCCCACCGCACCCCCTGCCACTCCGAGTGCCACTCCCACTACTGCCACACATAGATAAGGCGGGAGAACTTCGCTTCGGCCGGCGGTGCGGCGGGCGGTCGGGGGCGGGAAGACTCCCCCGGCCGGGCAGTGTGTCATGTCAGGCTGACGAAACGCATCCACAAGAACCCCAAACCAAATCAGTGCAATTTCCAGAAATTGATTCACTACCTCAGAAAAAGTTGGGTCACCACAGGGGGTCCCAACACGAACCGGGGGTGTATCTTTGCATGCGCCCCAGTGTTGCGGTTTTGCCTACTCCCTTCGTCCGTAAGGCGCTGTTGCCCCTGCAGCCCTAATGAGTATGCAATCCCGCAACACTGGAGCGCACTAGCGCATTCAAAACCCGGTTCACTTCAAACTAATAAACAACACTCTGCTGGGGCAATTAAGTTGTCACGCTGAGGAACAAAATTGCGTGTTAGCGCGGAACCAAGCCCTTCCAACGCGCGCCCCTGCGGCGCCCTGTGGCGCCTGCGCCGTGGCCATGCGTTGGCCCACCGGTGGTCGGCCAGGTTGAGTCACCTCAGCTCAGCCCGCCGGCCGCCCCTCGGCCTGGTGTGCCGGGAAGGGCCGCCGGCCCGGCTGGCCGCAGACGCTGACACCACACATACGGTCCCCGCCTGCTCCCTGCCTGCCAGCAGCCTGGGGAAAGGAAATTTCCTCGCGACCTCAGGAGGAAAGCCCCGCGCACCTCTCTCTCGTCACCATCATCTCACGCTCTCTCATCTCTGGCCATAGAGGCACCTGACACCTGCCTGGGTCAAGTTCCTAGGTCGGGCCGAGTCACTTTCTCCAGCTCCAGTTCTCCAGTCTTCACCCTATCGGCTCCAGGAGGCCCTTGCTGCCCCGCCGCCGCAGGTCGGGCACCTTACGTCACAGAGGGCAGGTGGAGGGGACGTTGTCCGCCCCGCCCACAATCCTGCAATAACGCTTCGCAATACAGATTGTGAGAAGGACGCCGGGATGCCGCGGTTAAGGTGCCCTCTTAAAGCCCACGTGTTTTCGGACGGCGCTTGTATTTTAACGATCGCATTCCCTGAACGTTCCCCCATTTACAGCGGAGGCGGAACACGCTGCTCTCTCGTTGTTGAGTCAGCTGGACCGTCTCCTAGGCCACCCGCTCCTGCTCGGAGCGGAAGCCCACGGCAGAGCAGCGCTCCTTCCGGCCACAACAGGGAAAACAAACAAAACGAGGAAAACTGACAGTTGTTTCATCCTTCATCGAGCGTGCTCTGGGCGGCTGGGCGCGGCGCAGGCGAAGGAACAGCGGAGGCGCTCCAGCCGGCTGGACAATTCGGCTCAACTCACCGGTGCAGCAGCTAGTCCAGGCTCGCGCCCTCCTTGTCGACTAGCGGGACGTTGTTGTTGTTGTTTGCGACAGCGCCGGGCATTTCTCTCCGCGCCCCCCGCACCACTACTGCAGCGCGCGCCTCCAGCGGCGGCCGCGGCGGCTCCAGGCCGGAGAAGAGAAGAAGGAAATTGGTTCCAGTTCCAGCGAAGGAGGCCAGGTCTGCAGGCCAGCCAGTCCACGCCGGGCCAGGTGCGCTAGCCGGGCCGGGCCTTGCCGGGCGGGCAGGCAGGTGGACGCGCAACGCGCACCCGGGGCTCTTGCACTGCACTCACTCGCACTCACTCCGCGGGCACTCACTCGCGCGAGTGCTGCACTCGCGGCGCTCTCGTCAAACCGTTCGACTTCAACGAGGGTCAAAGGGCCGCGATGTCCAACAAAGATCGCGCGCCACTCGCCGCTCGTTCGCTCGCTCGGGCCGCCGCCGTCGTCCGTCCGGAGAGTGTGCTCCGCCACGCTACGACTCGCCCGACCCGACCGCCGGCCGAACACTGACTTGACTGAGTGTGCAGTCCGAGCAGCGGGCCAGACAGTCGCGCCGCCGCGGG